TTTCGGAAAAGATGCAGTGTAATGGTTCATTTTTGGCTGTTAAATATCAAGATCTATAACTCCATCAAATGCAGTCTTGGAAAGTATCTTGAAAGAGACTTGTTGAACAGAAAAAAACCACCCAAGTGTTAGGTAGTGACAGTGAATTGAGATCAAATTTATTTGTTCACATATTTGGTCGATGTGGTCAATGTGGTCACTTAATAATTTTTCCTCTTTCATTGTAAGCTTCCATATCAAAATTTTATCACTTTAAATCATGTATTTTAAAAAGCTTTCTAACAAAAAACAAATTTATTATTACTGATGCACTTTCGTTTATAAACTGAGATTCAAACCTTTGGTCCATACGTTCTGGAAACTATTAAAATTGCATGATGGACCTCATTCAACAAAGCCATTTCCTAAAAAGATGATTTTTAATGAAATTTGGACATACATAATTTAATGAAATTTATTGAAAGGCTGCTAGTGTGAAAGAAAAGAAAGAAAAGAAAACTATTGACAATACGTTACGATTTTTTGGGGACATAAAATACCTTGCTGGATGCACTTGATTTATAATAATTGAGGTAAACATACGTTTTTTGGAGATATGTTTAAAAACAGATCCTTGTAGAATGCCAGGACCAAATTTATAATTAAAAATATTGAAAGATAACTATCATTTTCAGAGATACAGGAATTCATTGCTAACTGTGCAGGCTGTACATGTTGACATACAGTCAATGAAGTAAAAATAGGGGGGATTTTGTTTTTGGTGGTTGTAGGAGGGCTGGGGTTATATGAATGGTGGGTTGTTCATAGAAGTAATCTTGTGTTTTAAAGCTAAGATAATTATTAATTGTTTTATCCACAAGTAAGTAATTCATAAACATGTGAAAATTTAATAAAAAATCATAAACATGTGAAAATTAAATAAAAAAGAAAAATAATTATCTTTTGATTGATTGAATGCAAAAATTTACACTATTTCTCAAAAATATCTTGAATTTTGAAATGATTGTTGAGTTTTTGAAACCAGATTAAAAGATCAGTTTTAAGACAAAAAGTAACTGCAAAACAATTTCATGTGAAATATCAGTATTTATATGTATCTGTGCACGGTCACAATGTTTTATTTCAATATTGAAATATCATCACATTTATTCCTAAACCACCTACACTATTTATATATTAAACAAAAATATCACTTATACTTGTAACGAGGTGTGACAGATTATTTTCAAGTTATTGACATTGTACCATGGGCACATTACATAATTCAACATTGGCACTTTATTAATTACCTGTAATTATATTGTATTAAATATATTTCCTGTATTGAATACAGAACATCTCCTCGGAAGTACAGGAAGTGAGTTCTCGTCTATCAAACACACTTCACTTCTCTTTCTTCAATTTTACATCAACAATAAACACAGATTCTATATCTGTCAAAGTTCACGCAATAAACCGCTTACACCAACTTCACAAGTTACTTTAATTGCAGGGTCTTTTTCTAAACATCTTCAGCTCTCATATCTAACGCCACGCCTTCATAATTCTGTCTTCTATCTGTTGCTGCGATAAACTGCATCTCAACCAAGACGACATTCAACCCTTCCAAAAAGTGTTCCATATTAGTTTTACAAGCCTGAAATGCACGGAATCTGCTAATTATGTTGCCAAGATATTTTGGTTCAGTTTAAGTTCAGTCCTCTAGTCGGATTGGACCCGTTTTTTTGCCATTCTATCAGGCCGCTACCCATGTATACATTTATGTGTTGCAAGCATTCATTTCATCGTGATAATGAAATTAACCCTCTTATGCTTTATTTTCATTGTATGCATGCATGCCTCCTAATAAAAAGAACTTGGAATTTATTTTTTTATATGAATTGTAAAAAGATATTCATAAATGAAAAAGGAAATTAATTTACCGAATGTCATAACGCAAAATGAGTCTATAAACTATAAAGAATCAGAAGCTGTCTATACTTTCATCACAATTTGTCATTAATTACAAAGTCTTAAAATACAAACTATCTTCACAACCAGTCTGCAGGTCATTGGTAAAGTTTACCACACACGACCAGTCTGCAGGTCATTAGTTAAGTTTACCACACACGACCAGGCTGCAGGTCACTGGTAAAGTTTACCACACACGACCAGTCTGCAGGTCATTTGTAAAGTTTACCACACACGACCAGTCTGCAGGTCATTGGTAAAGTTTACCACACACGACCAGTCTGCAGGTCATTGGTAAAGTTTACCATACACGACCAGTCTGCAGGTCATTTGTTAAGTTTACCACACACGACCAGGCTGCAGGTCACTGGTAAAGTTTACCACACACGACCAGTCTGCAGGTCATTTGTAAAGTTTACCACACACGACCAGTCTGCAGGTCATTTGTAAAGTTTACCACACACGACCAGTCTGCAGGTCATTTGTTAAGTTTACCACACACGACCAGTCTGCAGGTCATTTGTAAAGTTTATCACACACGACCAGTCTGCAGGTCATTAGTAAAGTTTACCACACACGACCAGTCTGCAGGTCATTTGTTAAGTTTACCACACACAACCAGTCTGCAGGTCATTGGTAAAGTTTACCACACACGACCAGTCTGCAGGTCATTTGTAAAGTTTACCACACACGACCAGTCTGCAGGTCATTTGTAAAGTTTACCACACACGACCAGTCTGCAGGTCATTTGTAAAGTTTACCACACACGACCAGTCTGCAGGTCATTTGTAAAGTTTACCACACACGACCAGTCTGCAGGTCATTTGTAAAGTTTACCACACACGACCAGTCTGCAGGTCATTTGTAAAGTTTACCACACACGACCAGTCTGCAGGTCATTTGTAAAGTTTACCACACACGACCAGTCTGCAGGTCATTTGTAAAGTTTACCACACACGACCAGTCTGCAGGTCATTTGTAAAGTTTACCACACACGACCAGTCTGCAGGTCATTTGTAAAGTTTACCACACACGACCAGTCTGCAGGTCATTTGTAAAGTTTACCACACACGACCAGTCTGCAGGTCATTTGTAAAGTTTACCACACACGACCAGTCTGCAGGTCATTTGTAAAGTTTACCACACACGACCAGTCTGCAGGTCATTGGTAAAGTTTACCACACACAACCAGTCTGCAGGTCATTTGTAAAGTTTGCCACACACGACCAGTCTGCAGGTCATTAGTTAAGTTTACCACACACGACCAGTCTGCAGGTCATTGGTAAAGTTTACCACACACGACCAGTCTGCAGGTCATTGGTAAATTTTACCACACACAACCAGTCTGCAGGTCATTTGTAAAGTTTACCATACACGACCAGTCTGCAGGTCATTAGTAAAGTTTACCACACAGGACCAGTCTGCATGTCATTGGTAAAGTTTACCACACACAACCAGTCTGCAGGTCATTGGTAAAGTTTACCACACAAATTATTAATTTTTGGTACAAATATGATAATTTTGTCAACCAAATTAACTTATAATGTAAAATTAGGACAAAATGTTCCAACAATAAATCCAAAATATATTCTTCCTCAAATTATTTTGTGTTTATTTTACCAGGAAGCATGGTGTTTTTTCTGTAAAAAAACTGGATATGTCTCTGTTTTGAGATGAGAATATTTTGTGTTTATGGTGTTAGTCACTGAAGTGGTATGTGACTTTTTACTTAATGTATTAATTCAAAGACACGCAATACTTATGTAGACTGGGATTGGTACTGAGAGTTCACAAAATTAGATATGTTTTTAGCTCGCCTATTTGGAGAATAGGGGGGCTCATGTAGTCGGCACCAGTCCCAATACACAGTTGTCTATTATGAGTGTAAGCAATGTGCTGGACCATATTTTCATATTTTAGGGGCAAAAAACAGATTAATTGGACTTACTTTAAAGGTTTTTTGGTAAGCTTAAGGTTTAAGATTTTGGGCAAGTTTTTTTCACCACCATCAATAGGCTGTTGTCTATTATAAAGTTGGAGTATTTATATGGAGTGTATAAGCAATGTTCTGAATTGGATTTTCATTATTTAGGGGTCAAAACTGCTTAGTTGGACTTGGTTAAAGCTTTTGGGACCTGAAAAGTGAGGTGGCAAATGAAATGGGGGGGGTGGGGGGCATTATATCGAGGTTTACTGTACATTGGTTTCTATTGCTATTTTACTTTAACATATATCACCAATAGGCAGCTATGCTGTTCTCCAACAGCTCTTGTTTATGTCTTTATCCAAAAAACTAAGCTTATAAGGCTATGGCAATGGCCGTATCAGTTTGGTGTCTTGACATAAGAAAAAGAAAAAATACTATGAAATAATGATATGAGCATGAAAATGGTATGTCCTCACCTTTTCAATTTGTAGAACCAATTTAGTGTGGATATTTTTTTATACCTTACTGCCTTTCAAGTTTTCATTTTTAGCCCACTTGGCCAGGCCCTTATAATTAGCAGGGTTAAAGTCTTGATTTAACATATTGATGTAATTTAGTTTATACATAAAGTCTGTACAAAAGAATTGTCTTGTCTGCTACATTGGGTTTATGACAGTAAAATTGAGCTTTAACTTATTCACCCCTGAAGACACATTTGACCTCTTCCAATTGAAAGGTTGGAATAGTTAATTATGAAATTTCAGGGGTTAATGAGTTAACCCTTATACAAAGTATGGACTAGTAGAGGAGGTAAGTCATGGTGTTGATTATATAGTTTATATATATATATATAAATACTGTACTTGCCACATAAAATATTGACAAACTACCTTTTAGTCCTAGCCATATATTTTATTTATATTTATTCGTATATAAATGTGTTTATAATTGTGTACTTCTACTGTTTGTTTTCCTATCTGTTAACGACTATTATCACTATTTAAGTTCACTAATGTTATGTCGGTTAATTGTCTGTAATCTTTTGTACAATGATATTTTCCATCTGTTTCTATCTGATGTGATGATAATTCTATGCCCTGTGTCTCTGTACTGCGGTGTTTAGAGCAAGCTTTTGGTATGTATAGGCACAGCTTTACCTCCGAATGCTACAGTCAATATACTGGAATATATACTCGGGCATATGTGTATATGTGTAGCGCACGTAAACGCAATGTTGTTTTCTATATATATCATAACTTGTACGTTCATAGATATATATGTAGCAGCAGTCCAAAGTTTTTCTTTATTTTACTGTTAAAAGCTGGGGTTTTACTTTTTAGTAAAATGTTATTATTGCTAAGAAAATTTATTGCTGGTTTTTAATTTAAATAATATTTGCTGTATATAGCATGCAGAATTCTTCATACCGTTACTTCCTGAAAATCTCATATACTTTGATTTAAAAATATTTCACATTGTAAAGACCAAAATCGGTGTTAGGAATACCTTCTACTTTATAACTGTCTCATATAAAGAATCTCAGGAAATGACAATTAATAAAGGATATTTTCTAAATACATTAAAAATATATTAAGATATGGATATAGAGGCAGAGTATCTGCCTGCATCCATTATTTATCCTATTGTATCCTATATCGTAAAATAATAATAATACATATTTATAGTACAATTGTAATGTTTGGTTAAATATTAGAATCCTTTAAGAATAAGGATCATTTAAATTTCGGTTTTTCCCTGCGTGACAGATTATACTTAGGTATAAATATATAGGTAACTTGCATTGTAGTGTTATTTTATTTGTATGTTCATTGTCCTATATATATATAGATATAAGTATGTATCATTCTGTCAGTTTGTGTGTTAGTAATTACATGCACTGCTTCATTAGTGCCTGAGAAATGCCCGAATGCCTTACATCATGTATCATATAAATTAATTTTGAGAACCATAAACAAATAGTATACAACAAACAAACAGTTTGACCTTTTGCACAAAACTAAACTGAAAATCTCCATCCAAGTCCATTATTTAAATACAGTTCTTGTTTTAATAAAGATTGATTATAATTTCATGCAAAATAAAACCTTTTTCGTGAAATTAGTAATATCATCAATATGGTGTAAGGCGATTCATAATTGAGGTACTGTATAGTGTGAAGTTCGAAAGCTTTAATCAAATTGTATAGGCGACACTTTGCAGTTAGATTTTTATGTGGAGTGCTATGAATGCACACATTGAAATAAGATTGGTGAGACGTTTTGCTTTGCTTTGCACTGAATGTATATATAATTAGTACGGACGATTGTACAATCACTGAGTTGTATATCTTGACCTTGAACCCTAAGACCTGAAGAGACTATGTAAATATTTTGATTCCATATGTGTTTTAAGTAGAAAAATGTAGTGATGATCAATTACCACACAATTTGTGAAAAAAAGTTTTTGTCTGCATGGCCAGCTTTAATTTCAATTCATTTCTAATAGATTTTTTTCTAAAAAATGCTGAAAAACCTCATCTAGCTATAATGTATGTAGTGAATTAGACTTTCACTCCATGATGTAATAGATTGTGTACAGCCACGCTAGTAGAGTACCACGTTTAATACCATTTTCCTTGAAGATTCCACCGTCTCAGTTTTATTACCACGATATATTCGGCTGCTGTCCCGGACTTAATTCATTTCTTTACAAGTTGATTGCTTTATCTTCGTTTATTGAAAATGCTGCTGTTTTGAAGATCATTGCTCTTTATTTCGCCACAGAACTTTGTCTTGTAATGTGCTTTCAGTTTGCAATGTAACTTATGCAAGACAAGGAGGCAAAATGTTTAAATAATTAAGGATCACAAACTATTGCTGAAATGATACGATCACTTTTGGTTAGATGTTGCCTTGTCATTATGTAACACAGTAAAACAGATGTATATATATTCTATTCAGATGTCCACATAAACCATGTTGATTGTGTGTGAAGTCAACTGTCTAATATTCAGTAAAATCTTTGACGATTGTTTTATTGTAAATAATGCATCAATATTTACAACATGAGATGATAGTGAAATGATCTTGATATGTCCGATACTGTATGGACGCAGCACACATAAGCTGATGTCAGCATTTTTTTATTCAAATCGCACAAGTATCACGTTAGTCGTGTTTATAGCCTGAAATAAACATTTCCTCTTTTTTTTGATGGCTTTCCATGGATCCGTATACCGGTAAATCTAAAATCAATTCAAGTTATGTCGCTTATGAGTTGGATGGAGAACTCAGGTTTGAGCATCATTGGTATTATAAAAGGATTTGGTTGTGAAAACTCTCGAAAACACATTGATTTTGACAGACTGTCCAATATATATCTTACCATACACAAGGTTCGTGTCTACGCTCTGTCCCACGGGACCTCACATCGACACCAGCATTGCCCTGTTATCCACCTCACTGTCACATGCATGGCTTGTTGGCAAAGCTGGCGGGCGAAGAGAACTTCCAAACTTCCTGCCATCACAAAATGTAATATAGGACAATAAGACTACACTGACACATTGACGATACACTTTCTACACAGTTAGTGATGTCTGGTTATTTGGTGTCATGTATGGCGTGTATTGCGTGTATGGCGTGGCGTGTATGGCGGAAATATTTAGTATTAGGATGTAGTGTCTATCTATTTTTGATGCTATGTTTCAACAGCAGTTGGTGTGACATTCGGGTGAAGATGGTGGTTGGAGTGATATTTTGTAGGCCTGGTCGAAACAGATGTCTGATTGATTACTCCAGGCAGGGTAAAGGTGGTTGTTATGATGTTTGTGTGGAGGCAGTCATAATGACCTTTGATTTTGTGTTTGCTCATATGGTGTTTGTGATAGTATTGACTTGATGTTTGGTGTAATTTTTGATAAGAACTGACTTGATGTTTGGTGTAATTTGTGGTAAGAACTGACTTGATGTTTGGTGTAATTTGTGATAAGAACTGACTTGATGTTTGGTGTAATTTGTGATAAGAACTGACTTGATGTTTGGTGTAATTTGTGATAAGAACTGACTTGATGTTTGGTGTAATTTGTGATAAGAACTGACTTGATGTTTGGTGTAATTTGTGATAAGAACTGACTTGATGTTTGGTGTAATTTGTGATAAGAACTGACTTGATGTTTGGTGTAATTTGTGATAAGAACTGACTTGATGTTTGGTGTAATTTGTGATAAGAACTGACTTGATGTTTGGTGTAATTTGTGATAAGAACTGACTTGATGTTTGGTGTAATTTGTGATAAGAACTGACTTGATGTTTGGTGTAATTTGTGATAAGAACTGACTTGATGTTTGGTGTAATTTGTGATAAGAACTGACTTGATGTTTGGTGTAATTTGTGATAAGAACTGACTTGATGTTTGGTGTAATTTGTGATAAGAACTGACTTGATGTTTGGTGTAATTTGTGATAAGAACTGACTTGATGTTTGGTGTAATTTGTGATAAGAACTGACTTGATGTTTGGTGTAATTTGTGATAAGAACTGACTTGATGTTTGGTGTAATTTGTGATAAGAACTGACTTGATGTTTGGTGTAATTTGTGATAAGAACTGACTTGATGTTTGGTGTAATTTGTGATAAGAACTGACTTGATGTTTGGTGTAATTTGTGATAAGAACTGACTTGATGTTTGGTGTAATTTGTGATAAGAACTGACTTGATGTTTGGTGTAATTTGTGATAAGAACTGACTTGATGTTTGGTGTAATTTGTGATAAGAACTGACTTGATGTTTGGTGTAATTTGTGATAAGAACTGACTTGATGTTTGGTGTAATTTGTGATAAGAACTGACTTGATGTTTGGTGTAATTTGTGATAAGAACTGACTTGATGTTTGGTGTAATTTGTGATAAGAACTGACTTGATGTTTGGTGTAATTTGTGATAAGAACTGACTTGATGTTTGGTGTAATTTGTGATAAGAACTGACTTGATGTTTGGTGTAATTTGTGATAAGAACTGACTTGATGTTTGGTGTAATTTGTGATAAGAACTGACTTGATGTTTGGTGTAATTTGTGATAAGAACTGACTTGATGTTTGGTGTAATTTGTGATAAGAACTGACTTGATGTTTGGTGTAATTTGTGATAAGAACTGACTTGATGTTTGGTGTAATTTGTGATAAGAACTGACTTGATGTTTGGTGTAATTTGTGATAAGAACTGACTTGATGTTTGGTGTAATTTGTGATAAGAACTGACTTGATGTTTGGTGTAATTTGTGATAAGAACTGACTTGATGTTTGGTGTAATTTGTGATAAGAACTGACTTGATGTTTGGTGTAATTTGTGATAAGAACTGACTTGATGTTTGGTGTAATTTGTGATAAGAACTGACTTGATGTTTGGTGTAATTTGTGATAAGAACTGACTTGATGTTTGGTGTAATTTGTGATAAGAACTGACTTGATGTTTGGTGTAATTTGTGATAAGAACTGACTTGATGTTTGGTGTAATTTGTGATAAGAACTGACTTGATGTTTGGTGTAATTTGTGATAAGAACTGACTTGATGTTTGGTGTAATTTGTGATAAGAACTGACTTGATGTTTGGTGTAATTTGTGATAAGAACTGACTTGATGTTTGGTGTAATTTGTGATAAGAACTGACTTGATGTTTGGTGTAATTTGTGATAAGAACTGACTTGATGTTTGGTGTAATTTGTGATAAGAACTGACTTGATGTTTGGTGTAATTTGTGATAAGAACTGACTTGATGTTTGGTGTAATTTGTGATAAGAACTGACTTGATGTTTGGTGTAATTTGTGATAAGAACTGACTTGATGTTTGGTGTAATTTGTGATAAGAACTGACTTGATGTTTGGTGTAATTTGTGATAAGAACTGACTTGATGTTTGGTGTAATTTGTGATAAGAACTGACTTGATGTTTGGTGTAATTTGTGATAAGAACTGACTTGATGTTTGGTGTAATTTGTGATAAGAACTGACTTGATGTTTGGTGTAATTTGTGATAAGAACTGACTTGATGTTTGGTGTAATTTGTGATAAGAACTGACTTGATGTTTGGTGTAATTTGTGATAAGAACTGACTTGATGTTTGGTGTAATTTGTGATAAGAA